CCAAACCCCTCCTTAGCGCGGAGCTAATCTGCGCTGATTGGACCGATGACAGTCTGTCGCGATTGGTCGACTGCCTTCAGTCAGAGAGGGAAATGGCCAATAGCTAATCAGCAATTTAAAAAGTAATCACAGTTCATACACGCTCGATAGTGTAGGCGTGGATTTTAGCTGCCACACTATGGCGAGTGGATAGTGCCACGGATAACCGAAAGAAGGAGACAGTCGTGTACTCGCCATACCACACACACACAAAAACACACACACACCTCCGGATGACAACGCTCCCGCTTCCGCCCGCACCCGCCAGGTTTTAGCCTGAGAACCCGCTCCGTTTTCTGCCCGCTGCGCCCGGTCCCGCTAGAGCGGAGAACACAACCAAAAATCACCCAGTATACAGTCCAGACAGCCAAGCTGTCTGTATAAACACATACACACAGCACAAAGTTCGTTCGTTCGCTCTCTCTCTCTCTCGCTCTCTCTCATACCAAGCAGACTCTCTCTTTCTAATTCACATAGCAATATCCGTGATATTGCTAGACAGCCCGCTCCCGTCCCAAATTAAACCCGTTACCGACCGCTAGCCTCCCGCGATTTATTCGGAAATTTATTCCCGCGGCTTTCCCCGCGCCAGATTTCTGCGGCGCGGGAATAAATTTCCGAATAAATCGCGGGAGCAGAACTCTAGCACGGAGCTCCATAAACAAACAGCACGCGTCGCGTTTTTAACGTGACTTTGCACGCGATAAGATAAAATATCCAGTTAACCTGATACAGTACACGCGGTTACAAGTAACAAATCACAACTAAATACATTTGCAAGCTAGAGTCAACGAGGCAACAACTTTAACCGCACGTACTTACACTTGAGAAATGGAAGAAACCCATCCTGACGTCCATCAGTTACTCTTTACTGATCCTTCCTTTAACAAACTCAGATGAAGTATTCTTTGTAGCATGCAGCTTCCAGAAGTTTCCAACTGCTTGGTTATAATGCTGAGGTTTCATCTTTGGGTAGAGACTCAATATATCCATCTGCAGTGTGACTTCAATCAACCGGCATGTTTGTGTGTGTGTGTGTGTGTTTGTGGGTGTGTGTGTGTCTGGGTTTCTGCGTCAGAGGGCGGGGCCTCAGGTTTGAAATCTCCCGGGTTTGCGCGTGCACGTGAATAACTTGGTTTCGTTCGTACGTCATGGCGAAACACCTAATGAATCGTGATCAAGGCGACTCGTTTGAAGCACTATGAGTCGACTCTTTTATAGATGAATCAACAGTTTTAAACACTGTATTCTTACAGATTTAAGCCTTAGCTGGATACTTCACTTCACTTAGAGCTGTGTTACACACTACATGGAGGGGAATTTTCAAAAACCCATAATATGGGCTCTTTAATAAAAAATCTACATGAACTAAGATTAATAAATGCTTTTGGAGCATTTATATTGTTATTTTATGTTAATTTATGTTACAAAGCTGGCAATGTTAACTGTTAACTAACACTGTTAACAATTTGGTATAGAGTTTATAGTAAATTACTGGCAGCAGTTCTCCAGCAACTTACTGTAAATCAATTACAGCAAAAATACTGTATTTACATTTACAACACTATTAATCATGCTGTTTATGTGTTTACAGAATTGTATGTATATCTTTACTGTAAAATTTACATTAATTTACACAATGCTACTTTAAAATACAGTAACATACTGCATAACTACAGTAAAATACAGCTTGTTACATTTGAATATTGTGTAATTTGCAAGAATCATTAACAGTGCAGTTAATTACTATTAACAAATGTATCATAATCATAGTAAAGTGTTACTGACTTTTGTTTTAAACATATCCAAATTGTATACTACCACAAGCCACATAAAGATTTGCCAAATACTGTATATTTAAAAGAATGGCACTGTTCAATCAATAATAAATATACATAAGAGAAGTTTCAAAAACAAGTTTGCAAAAACACTTATCACTGCACTTGGATAATGATACTGAATGGCTATAAACTTTGCCGGTTGTTCTACCACAATGCCAAACAGGGTGACGCAAACTAAGAGTTTGTATCACACCATTTACTAATACAAGCAAAAATACACAGCAGTGATCTGAGCTCACGTCCAAAACCTAAACATTCAGCTCTGACAGAAGACTTACACAAAGGATAGGATAATAGAGAGAACTATTAATCAAAGTGTTAAAACTGCTGGTATAGGCCATATAATTCTCTTCAAGATCTGTTTATTAAACAAGACAAGCCAAGTTTTTTTTTTATTCAGCATTTTGTAATAAAAGATGAAATGCACAGTAACTTCTGGTGTTTGACACCTTAGATATAAAGATTTATAACTCTGTAGAAAGCGCAGAAAGAAATTTACAACCTGTGATATAATATACACAAGCATCTAATAATAAACAGAGATTTATAAAGTCACGCTAACAAAAAAATGAATGGTTCACGAGAGCTGCACGGCTTTCACAAAGTTAGAACATGTGGTTGAATGGGCATTCCTTCAACATCTATGAAGGGATTTTAAGACGGGAGCCTTGATGCTTGAGTAACTGTACTGTACACTTGAAAACCAGATCAAACCAAGGAGTTTCACTACAACGGGTCAAATCCTCCCTCATTGGCTTTTCTTGGAGGTAATATGGCTTTTTTGTCAACATTCAGTCTGGCAGTATAATGCACTGATAGAGTTCCAGCCTAGTGATTTATAATCTACCAACTATTATTAAAACCAAAGACTGGATCACAGAAGGCGCATGTTTCCATTTTGACCAATGCTTTAAAAAAATACAACAAAAATACACAGTGTCTATAAAAGTCCATCTGAAATGGCTTATATTTTGTGACAAAAGATCCAGGGATACTGTACTATCTAGAACAAATGTGAAAATTTGCATTTTGTTATATCGATTAAGGTGAAGTAAGCCACATATTGACAACAAACTCATCTATCAGAAAAATGGTCAAACTGTATGCCAAATCATAAAATAGGAAACAAAGCAGGAGTTTGGAAAGAAGTCTATGCAATCACAGCTACAATAGTTTAACTCAGTGTTTTAAGGAATAAACGAGGAGCAATTGTTAAAATTCACCTCTGACCACTCAATGCAGAAAGCTTTGCATGACCCGGACTAACAAAGTCAGATCAGCCAAGATTTATTATTTGATAAACACGCTTTGTCAGTAAAATATGTCGTACATGCTGATGCACTTCTGCGCACACTGTAATATAAATGTGTATAATTGGTAAATGAACTGAAATGATAGAGATGTACAGTGGTTTATGCTTTAATAGTTTTTGCTTTTTCATTTATTAGTCATCAGTGCATCAAAGTTTGATTTAGTTCATCAGTTAACAATATTATGCACTGAAGCTATAGGTAGACTTGCATAGAAATGTAATTTTCTCACATAATAATAATAATAATAATAATAATAATAATAATAATAAACTTATTTGCAATAGTGTATCGGATTATCAGATTTTGATTGATCATGTTATAAACAAACACACATACATATGCTATATAATAATTGTTATCATTATTATAACTGACAAAACGGTAGTAAATTTCCATAAAATATCAAAAACTGTACAATAAAATGTAACTATTATTTTAATACAACATAACACAAATCTGGGTCACACCTTTTTTACAGTATACATGTTGAATTGTGTAATTTGATAATTATAATATGTATGTAACTATTATGAGCAGATTGTACTTATTATTATTGTTTTGGAGGTCTAAAATGGTGGCTTAGTATGTCTACACTCATTAAAATTAAAAGCAATCAAAGTATTATTATTATTATTATTATTATTACTCTCTTATTGCTCCAAGTTGCTTATACTTAACTGCTATTGGTTTGACTGTCTTAATAATCCATAATAAAATATACTGCAATACTGTATATGTCACACAGTCAACTGAAAGGCTACATCCAAGTCGGTCTTTGCTTTTTTTTACACTAAAATGTCTCATCCTCGTAGCCAAAAATAAAACTTCACAGAAGCTAATGTACCTTTTTAAGCCCTTTGCTCAGTATAATTGGCTGCTATCATATGTCAAAGTGCTATTCTAAGGCAAATGAAACAGCTCAGGCTTTACAAAGAGACTCCAGCTGAGAGCTTAAGACTGTCAGTCTCTCAATCAGTGCACTTTAAGAGCTCTATTGTCATTCCAATGACACAAAAACTGTTTAGATAGCCCTTTGGCAACACGAGTCAACAAGTTAAATAAAAACACCCAAACCTCTACTAAATGAAATAACACCTCTAACTACTTGTTCTACATAAAGTTTCAGTAAAATGACATATAAATTTAAAATATGATATATTTAAATAACATAAGTGCAAATTAGTACCAACAAACGTTGCCAAAATCTTTGGCACATTGGTAAATACTGTGTACAGAGCATGTAATCATACTGTAATTTTTGACACATTGATCCTTTGAAACCACTTTAAATATTATCAGAAAATATTTCGATTTATTCTACATAAAGTTAGAAATAACTTCCATTTAAATAACATAACAGTATAGGTATACAAACCAGAGGTAATATATTAAGCAGTGTCTAAGCATTATATATAAAATATCCATGGCTATTGTACTGTAATTTGAGACACGTTTGCTTAAAACAATTTCAAATAAAATCCGAAATATATTCGACTGCTCTTCATCTCTAATTGTTCTAAATGAAATTAGAACATTAGATCTAAAATATCAATTTAAATTACATCAGCTAAAGTATACAAATAAAACGAGTTCAGTCTATTTAGGGATAGTTTATTAAGCAACTTCCAAGTATTGCATATTGAGCATGGTCATCGTAGTATAATTTGAGACACTTTAAATGATTCCTAATAATATCATGAACATATTCTGCTGTTTGGTATCTCTTAACTCGACAGAGATGTGCTTAATTGAATGCAACGTTAAGTGGCTTATGAAAACAGTAGTGTAAATGAGTTTAATCGCCTACCGCAGCTGAGCGCGAGCAGCACGCAGATCAGGGTGAAGTTGCGCTGGCATCCGTGCGGCTCTTTCACTGTTCCTCTGCTCATTTCTTCTGCCCTTAAGCGCTCGTACATCCACCGCAATCTCGTTCTTCTCTCAGGTCAGGGTTACTACTGGAGAACGGAGACTCTTCAGGACTTTACTGAACCACGGTTGTCCGCAGAGATGTGCTGCTGTTTGCGGATGATCCTCTGCTCTGCTTGCTCTTTCTCTCGCTCCTGTTTGGAGTTTTGACTTTCTTTAGTTCCCTCTGAAAGTTTTCCTGTGAGTTTGAAGACATGTGCTCCTCGATTAGTGTGTTTAGCGCCACCTTGTGTTTTAGTACATGACTGTTGAAGGGGTAAAGTGGAATTAAAGTGATGGATCATCCAAAATATGAACATTTGTTGTTAATATATTCTCCCTCGGGCTGTCGAAGACGGTGGTGTTATTTTATTCAGCGCTTGTGTCTTTTTATTTAGCTTAAACTGGTGCTTGTTTATTTATAAAATGCAGCTCAGCGATTACTGGCACTTTCTGAGTAAAGATACAAAATAAATGGCAAAAAAGATAAATTCCTTTTGCTCTTGAAGGTAAACTGAGGTCAAATATCATGAGGAGACACATGTATTAATGGGATTTTACGCAAAAAGGAACATTTCATCTCCATTTACTTACTCAAAAATTATTTTTGCTGTTTGTTCAATTTACCTATTTAGGTATTATGAGCTGAATCAACACAATTATTTAGTTTGTTTGGATACAGTTTACTTGTTTTATGTCCAATAAATTTAAATTTGTAAAAACAATTAAGTTAACTAATCAATTTGTGTTGGGACAACATGATGGCTTGTGTAGAACCCAGAATTTTTTTTACAGTGCTCACACTCAAATAGTTCGAAGTTTTTGTGAATTTCTTCTGTCAACCACAAAACAAGATATTTTGAAGAATCTTAGAATTTTAAAAAAGCAGCCATTGACATCCATTGTGGGTGGCGCAGTGGGTAGTGCTGTCACCTCACAGCAAAAAGGGCGCTGGTTCAAGCCTTAGCTGGGTCAGTTGGTTGTGTGGAGTTTGCATGTTCTCCCCGTGTTTGCGTAGGTTTCCTCTGGGTGCCCCTCACAGTGACGTCACTAGCTCCATTGAGTGCATTTTGTCAGACATTGCATCTCTGAGCGATGCAATCTCAGCTTACATCATAAAGACTGCATCCAAAAACTATTAGGTTTCCCCCATAATCCAAAGATATGTGCTATTGGGTAAATTGAGTAAGCTAAATTGTGTGTAGTGTATATGTGTGAATGAGAGTGTATGGATGTTTCCCAGTGATGGGTTGCAGCTGGAAGGGCATCCGCTGTGTAAAACATACGCTGGATAAGTTGGCAGTTCATTCCGCTGTGGTGACCCCAGAATAATAAAAGGACTAAACCAAAAAGAAAATGAATGAATAAATAATTGTTTTCTCACAATATTTTGTATGCGTTATAACATGCTTCTTAAAATGTCTGTTTATCTATTTTTTTCTCTCATTGGAAACCCCCAAAATTACATCATAAACTCATCTAAGTTAGCATATGTTGCATAACACAAAAACAACTGCCCACTTTTAATGAAAAACACTAAATCTTAGCATTTTAAAAATAATATTTCATGCCTTTAAAAGCATTCCAAGAATATCCAGCATAATGCTGTTTCCAGCACAAATTGAATTATTTATGTAGTCTCAGCACAAACAAATTTAATTTAATTTTGCAATCTAAAGTGCATTGCACAAAATCAAATTAAGTGAAAATGTTTAAGACTTGTATTGTCTCATTTGCATTGTGACAAGCAAAAGGAGCTATATTATCAGTTTTTTTAAAATCCATATAAATAAGAAGGTTGCTGGTTCGAGCCTCAGCTGGGACAGTTGGAATTTCTGTGTGGAGTTTGCATGTTCTCCCTGTGTTCACATTGGTTTTCTCCTCCTGGTGCTCTGGTTTCCCCCACAAGTCCAAAGACATGTGTTATAGGTGAATTGGGTAGGCTAAAATTGACCGTGATGTATGTATGTGAATTAGGGGATATGGATGTTTCCCAGTGATGGGTTGCAATTGGAAGGGTATCCGCTGTGTAAAACATGCTGGATAAGTTGGCAGTCCATTTCGCTGTGGCGACCCCAGATTAATAAAGAGACTAAGCTGAAAAGAAAATTAATGAATGAATCCATATAAATAATAATTAATAAATACACAGGTTACAGACACCGAAATGATTACTGTAACTTAAAAAATCAACAGTAAAAATGTCAATATTTATGAGGAATATTTTTAATGCAAAATAATAATAATCATATTAATGGTTTCCTTATATTACTAGATAAAATTATTAATAATTTGTTTAATAATTTGATAATTTAATATTAATATATGAATAAATCAATCAATAATATTTTGCATTGTGACAAATAAAAAAGCTTTATTACCAGTATTTTTTAAAATCCATAGATAAATAATACATAAAAACACAGTAAGTGTAAAAAAATTACACTTACCCGCGTGGGGCTCACCTGGGCTGGCAGCGTGGGGCCCACCTGGTTCAGTTCACTTTATCTTTATTTGGAAGAAACCCCCCTTCCTCCCCATTCTCCTCCTTTACCATACATCGGGTGGCACGGTGACCCAGTGGATAGCACTGTTAGCCCCACAGCAAGAACACTGCCGGCCCGGTAGGCGTTTCTGTTAGGAGTTTATATATATTCTCCCCGTGTCTTTGTGGGTTTTCCCCAGGTTCTCCGGTTTCCTCCCACCATCCAAAGAAATACATCATACATAACAATCAAGCACTTGTCTAGCCCCCTTTTTTCTCTTCTGTTCCCTTAGCTACTGCAGCCGGGGAGTTCTGAGATTCAACAAGCTCAAGCTCCCCTCTCGCTCTGCGAATGGGAGGAAGCCCCGGGCTTGAATCCACGAGGTGGTGCTGTTCAACCACAATATTAGTTCCAAGATGATAAAAGTAAGTAAAATAGATTAAAACTATAATTTTAGAGCTGTCGAAATGTGACTTTTTATACGCATTAGCAGCAGACCGGAAGTTCTTAGCATTCTCCTTGCGCATACACGCAAAGCATAATGGGTAATTTTGTGTTCTAAGAAAAAGGTCTATAGACAATTCTATAGAATACAAAAAAAACATGTTTAATAGAATTATCTGTTGTGTGTTGTCTTAGAGCCGACTCATGGCCAAGAATTAGGTTTATTAAGTCTGTCCTCTCTGACTTATTGTCACCGACTCGGTCCCAGTCACTCCCCTCGCTGGTTAGCAGAGGCCACCATCTCCGGACTTCTAAGCATTACATCATCCACTTACACTGATCTAGCACACATGAACTGAATCCAGTTAATGACCCACGTACCCTTGATAAGCCGCACTCAAACACTCAGTCTTTGCGAAGTCTTGTTCAGCCCCGGCCAGCATTACTGAGCGTTATATCCTGCCTGATCTCCTGTGTATTACTCCAGCCCGTTTCTGACTCTGCTTTGCCTTCTGCCTGCCCACGATCCAAGCCTGTTGCACGGACTCTGATACTCGCTGCCTGCCCTTGACCCAAGCCTGATACACGGACTCTGAATCACGCCGCCTGCCTCTGACCCATGCCTGGTAAATCACTCTGTGTCTGTCAGCCACCAGCCTTAAGACCCTTATTACTATTGTTGTTGTGTGTTCGCACCTTTGTGCGTGTTGATTGTTTGAGTGAAAGTGTGACTAATAAATACTGCATAATGGATCCCTCCGTGTCAGTCTCCCCGTTACACTTATCCTCCCTCTTTTTAGCTACATGCAAAATACTCTATCAGGAGGCATGCTTAGTCTAAATAAGATCAGCATCATATTATTTAAACTTTGTTTAGTCTACTTGCAAAACTCACTATGTGCCGACACCTCTGCATAAAAGGCTATTACGCTGGCTTCACAACACATAAGTGGCGCATGAGCAGTGCGGCTATGTTTTTAGCGTCCATGTTTACGAACGGGACTTACACCGGGAGCAGAGCAACATGTCAGCATCAAGCAGGAGAGGTGCATGGAGGGCGCGAGTAGGTTTTTTTTTTTCTGCTCAGTTTGCTTTTTGATTAAGCGACATTGCTTTCATCAGCGTTGGTTCGGTTGCACATAAAGAATAACATCTTTATTACGGGATTACCACTCTTAACAAATACACTTGCAAATAAAGTAAATCATACCTCAAAGCTTTAACTGGGGCACGTGCCCTAAATCCACCAAGATGGCATGGCCCACATGGGGCCCAACTGGGATGGCCCGCGTGGGGCCCACCTGGGCTGGCTCACGCGGAGCCCACCTGGGCTGGCCAGTATTATTATTCATGATAATACTTTACATTTAACTACAACAGTTTTCTTTTAACGTTTTAAGAACAGTGCCATTTTAATTTACTTTTAAAATCACATTTTAATTTAAGGCGACGCAGTGGCGCAGTAGGTAGTGCTGTCACCTCGCAGCAAGAAGGTCGCTGGGTCACTGGTTTGAGCCTCGGTTCAGTTGGTGTTTCTGTGTGGAGTTTGCATGTTCTCCCTGCATTCGCGTGGGTTTCCTCCGGGTGCTCCGGTTTCCCCCATAGTCCGAAGACATGCGGTATAGGTGAATTGGGTAGGCTAAATTGTCTGTACTGTATGAATATGTGTGTGTGTGTGAATGAGTGTGTGGGAATGTTTCCCAGAGATGGGTTGCGGCTGGAAGGGCTGCGTAATAACGTGCTGCATAAGTTGGCATTTCATTCCGCTATGCCGACCCCGGATTAATAAATTGACTAATCCAAAAAGAAAATGAATGAATGAATGAATTTTAATTTAAACATTTTATTTATCTTTTTTTACCTGTAAGTGTGTTATTGTTCAAACTATTCATTTTATTTAAAGTGGCTGACAATAATAAATATTCATAATAATAAGAATTAATCTGCCATGTCTGTGAACTGTGCAGAGCTGTATCTGCTTAATTAGGCCCACTATGTATTTCAAAACCAGTCATTATAGTGGTACTTGGAGAGACAATTTTTTTCTGAGGTGGTACTTGGTGAAAAAAGTTTGAGAAACACTGATTTAGTTTATTTGCCTTCTTTTTTGTAATATAATAAAAAAAAAAAACAGACTGTAAAAAAAATACATTAATTTTCAATTATCGGAATATATATTTTTATTAAATCTGAGAATTATACATTACAGTTTTCAACAAATAGTCTGGTCAGGTAAATATAGACCCTTATGGGAACAACCTGATATGT